ATTCAGGGCATCAATCAAAACACTGAACTTCAAGAGAAATCACTGCAATGATAATGACAATCTTTGTAATTTTTGCATCATGAAAAAAAGATCAGTTTCAGATTATCTTTGGGCAAGGGTTTCAGCTTCCATGGCTCCAGAAAGTCTGGGGGTCTAGGAGAATCTGAAATTCTGCATTGCATTTCCCCCCTAATGTCTCCTAAAAAGCAAGCAATAGTTGAGCTTAACTAATAAAGAAGTTTGAGCATTCAGCTCCTTTATGAACTGTCCATATGAGATCAAACTGACATCAGCAACTGGAAAGGTTAGCTAGGAACCTCAGAAGGCAGTGAGTTTATGTAAATGAAGGAAGAACAGCTCAGAAGAAAGGAGTGTGAGCATGCTCACACAACCTGAACAATAAATATCATTAATGTCACTAAGTGATACATGCAGAAACTGCTGAACTGGTATATGTTTTGCTGTGTCTGCTTTTGAACGATGACAAAATTAAAAAATTTTTTAAAAAGGAAAGTTATATCTCCTATAAGTTTGAACCCCATGAAATCACTAAACAACAGCAATTTCACATGATTCAACCTAATATGTTGTTACTAAGCGCCGTCGAGTAGGTTCTTACTCATAGCGACCCTGTATAGAGTTTCTGAGGAGTATGTATCCTCCTTTAAACGAAAAAGCACCCACCCTATATGACATTTTATTCATAAGATTTCTATTCCTAACGGTACCAGATATAGCAAACCTTCTGCCTCTCACAACCTTCGCTGACCTGGTTACCCACCCTCCCCACTCCTCTCCAATGAAAAATCTCCCACTTGGGAGAGGAGACATGAAGAAAGAATTTCAGGCAGAAAAATGTCTGACGAGGAGAGCAGATGACAAAGAAGTCAGATGTGTGGGCTCTGTCTGGTTTTGCCAGCTCCTTCCCACAGGACTGTAAACAGATAAATGGACCCTTTCCATCTGTAAACACCTGTCTCACAGGGGAACTCAATGTTCACTTGTCAAATGAATCACATAAGGGTATCATTCTCTCCCTCTGATCAGGCCAGAATGGTGGTAAGACATCAGTTGTTGTTGCTAAGTGCCAGCGAGTCGGTTCTGACTCATAACAACCTTGTCTACATAGGGTTTCTGAGGAGCGGTTGGTGAATTTGAACTGCTGACCTTGAGTCTCAAATTTCAAGTCCTCTGCTGAGTAGCTGTATGTCCTGGGTAAATAATTCTGATTTTGCCCCTCAGATTCCTCATGTACAAAACAGCAGTATTACTATCTCAGGAGTATGTGGTGACGAGTAAATGAAACAATGGTAAAGTGATCAGCTCGTCATGTTCAATGGATTATGGTGCTAGTACATAAAGGGACCAGAAGAGAACTCAGGACTAAGTTCCTGTTTTCCTAGCTCATGACAATCTAGTCTTAGTTTCAGAATGAAACACTAAGTGCTTCTATTGTGATACAAATAAAATTATTGCTTTAAAAAACAAAGGGGGAGGATGTTTCTGCTACAATAGACCCTGATAGAAGGGGAGAAAAGTGTGAAACAGAACTCACATTTTTAAAAGAAGTACATACTAAGTGGACCCGTTGAAACTAGAAGACTCCCTGACACTATGACCCAGAGATATTTTTTAAACCTGGTTTGGAGTCCTGGTGTGGTGCAGTGGGTTAATGCGCCAGACTGCAAAGTCATCTGAACTGTAAGCTCGGCAGTTCAAGCTCACCAGCCGCTCCTTGGAAACCCTATAGAGAGTCGCTATGGTTCAGAACCGACTAGACAGCACTTCACAACAACAATAACAATTCATAAGTTTGGTACTCTACTAAAAAACCATCTATATGAGACCAAATAAAGTCAGCATTTACTATAAAGCAAAGATGAAACGATAAAGGGGCAGGGAAACTAAGGTACTGGAAAAGGAACCACCAGAATGCAATGAAAGAGAATGCTAACACGTTTTTGGAAATGTAACTAATGTCACTGAACAATGTGTATAGAAACTATGAAACAAAAGCTTAATTTACTGTGTCAACATTTATCAAAAACAGTAAAATACTATTTTTTGAAATCAGAGTCTTTAACCTTAGGGGGCAGTGAGTTTATGTTGATGGGGAAGAACAATCCAGACAAGGAGGGTGAGAATGGTCACACCAAACTGAAAAATGGCATCAATGTCACATACAGAAATCGTTAGGTTGTTGCATGTTCTGCTGTGTATATTTTCAACAACAAAAAAAGGAAATAACTATTACAAAATAGTTTCTGCCAAACACTGTGACTTTAATATATTTCTTAACATAGCTGATCAATAGTTCAGCTCAAGTTATAAACTAAAAAAGTCACACTTTGAAAATTTATAGAGGTAAACAGGCTTCTAGACTCTTGGAGATTACAGAACAGCAACAGAGTTCAGGATTCCTAGTATAGTGCTGTAGATTAAGCAATGGATTACTAAATACAAGGTTGGTGGTTCAAACCTACCACCCCTCCTCTGAAACCCTACACAGGGTCACTGAGTCGGAACTGACTCAACGGCACTTAACAACAATAAACCTCAAGGAGCCCTGGTGGCATAGTCGTGAAGCGCTCGGATGCTAACAGAAAGGTTGGCGCTTTGAACCAACCTGCCACTCCATGGGAAAAAGGTGTGGCTGTCTGCTTCCATAATGACTGACAGCTTATAGGGGCCATTCTCTGTCCTACAGGGTCCCTATGAATCAGAATCAACTTGATGGTAATGGATTTAATGTTTGGTAATAAAGTTTAACGAATTAATCAAAGTCTGCTTTAAAGTGCTGTTGTTGTTAAGGGCTATCGAGTCGGTTTTGACTCCTCATGAGCCTGTGGTGGGTTCCCGAGAAGTGTTTGGTGGGTTTGAACTGCTGCCTTTTGGTTCACAGTTCAGGGTTGAACCTACAGCACCACAGCTGTAGTTGTTTCTAAGTTACTGTAAACAGACGATGGCTCTATTTTGAAACCAATTAAAAGGACAAATTACCCAAAATCTCTCTTGGTACTAATTTCGCAATACCCTCTTCTCAGTACAGTTTGTGGTGTTTTAGTTCCCACCCGCTTGTTCCTCTCCTGTGAGTGCTCTTTTCCAACACCCTTGAAAGTCACTGACCTTCACATTTTGGTCAGTAAATTTACTTTCAACAGGAAGTAAATTTCAATCCCAAACAGCAGAGAACAAAGCCCTGGAGACCTGTGCCTAAGAGATCAAGAAACTTGCTCCAAAGCCTTCCCAGTTCTAGTCTAAGTGGTGGGAACAGGAAGTGCAATCATCAGCCTGGCAAAGGTCCTGACATCAAACGAGTGGATGATGGGTCCCCTCTGTCCAGACTCAATGTGAGGGTTCTACTCTCCCTACCACGGTCAGGGAAACAAGACGACATGAGATGGGAACAGACTCAGTACTTAGCCAAGATCCTTCTCATGGGAGTCCTTACAGATAACACTGAGGTCAGAGCACATTGTTTTAGATGCTGTGGTGTGCACCAGGAAAACAACTAAAACAAGAAACCTTGTTCAGTCACAGAGTTACTATTTTCCATGAACTTCAATTTCCCGCATCTTGATCAAAACAGAGTGCAATGCATTTTGATTCTTTCCCTGACTAAAACCTGAAGGTGACAGACAGCTCTGGACACATGCTAGCTGAATGATGTTGAGTAAAATACTATCTTCTCTGCGCTTTTGTTTCCTCCTTTACAAATGGGGACGATAGTACCCTCACATTCACTTACTGTAAGTATTAAACGAGACAGTCGCTTTCATTTAGTTAAGGGTCAGTAAATGTTAGCTATATTGTCAGAATGCAAAGTCGTTTGAACTGCAAGGTTGGTGGTTCAAGCTCACCAGCTGCTCCTTGGAAACCCTATACAGGGTTGCTATGGGTTGAAATCGACTCGACGGCACTTAACAACAACAATAATTACCATCTTAGAAGTCTAGAGAAAATGTGGCATTTCTTTCATGAAATTAGAGTATTGAGGAAAGCCACAACGAAGATTTCAAAGTCTAAGATCAATGCTCCAAAACCTGCTTTACTGCAAACTGCACCTCATCAGTGACTACAGGATCTAATTACCTCAAAGTACTTGTGTAGTGGTTATGAGCGGGGCTTTAAACCTCAAGGTCAGTAGTTCGAAAACAAGCCATTCTGAGGGAGAAAGGTGAGGCTTTCTGCTCCCATAAAGACTGAAAGACTCGGAAACCCTGTTCAGGATCACTATGAGTTGGAACCGACTCACCACCGACTCACAGCACACCACCACTATCCCTCCAGCCCAAGTGAGCAAAACAATGTTTGTAAAGTATACTGGGGGGAAAATGCTTTTTCACTAGAATGCAAATCAAGAATTAATGACACAGAAAAATTCTTTATAAAAACGTAATTTTTGAGCTGTTGCTCTAACTTCAGATATAACTATCCATCTAACACTTTGATTCAGCTGTTGGAGAATAAAAAGCAGACTACAGCTTTCTTTAAAACCAGCAGTGCTTCAGTGCCTGGGAAACTAGTCTAGACCCAAACGTAGACAGTTGGACTTTGCTTCCTTTTATCCCAAGTGTCCCACACACCCCAGCTGCTGTTGTAGAACGCCCCAGGAAACAAATGCTTGAACATTTTGTTTAATTTTAAAGAAGAGCAGATTTCTACTGAAGAACAGCTGCCAATCCTCATACCAATCCACAATATTCAAATCTGCTTCCTTAAAACTGCTTTTTATGAAAGAGAAAACAAACAAACAAATAATTTTGGAATCCAAGCAGTAGTAGGGAAAGGATATTATCTCTTTCCATTTAAATGCCTTGCTATAACATCATCTAAATAAGATCTTATTGTGTACTTTCTCCCAAGTTTCCAGCGCTTGGGGTGTGTGTATAAGCACCTGTCAGGTCACACCTACCTGAAGTCCCAAGGCAGCATGTTTGAGAACAAGGAGACACATACTACAGGGCACAGCTGTGTGGCCCTGCAAGAGGCCCACTGACCTTTTGATTACTTGTGACTTCGTCCCGGCTCCTGCCCAGCTCCTCAGCAAGTTTGATGTTCTCTTCCTGCAGCGCTGACAGCTGCTGGGACTTCTGTGCCGCCGCCTGCTTTAGGGTTTCTCTGCAAGGACAGTGAGTGCAAAGTTACCATAGAAACAAGACAGGCAAGGAAACTGGGGGAGACAACCAGTTTCATAGCACCGCGGAAAATACGTCTGGGTCACGTGCCTGATAGAATCTAGAAAAACAGGAGACGGCGGATGATCTAGGCGCCTGGTGGCACTGTGGTTGAAGTGCTTGGAGGGAGGGAGAAAGACATGGCCGTCAGCCGTGGAGCAATTCTACTTTGTCCTATGGGGTTGCTCAGTCCGGACTGACTCAGTGGCCAGGGGAGGTTTGGGGTTGGAGAATGATTCACATGCAGGGTGGGCTAAACGGCTGAATTCTCTCAGAAAGAGGATGTCCATCCACAATTGGTACATTTTTTTTAAAAAAACCTAATAAACACTGTGCCCACTCTTCCACCAACCACACATACTGCACTTACTCCCCAAACTAAAAGGAAATTCACCACAAAAGAATTAATAATGAGTGGTCAGCAGAGCCCTCCAGTTCACACGAGATCTCCCTTAGAAAGTGGTACTCTAATACTGAGCATTTCTTAGTGCTCTGTCCAGACACACTTCTAACTGCAAGGGTCTGTGATATGGATCATTCTTTAATGATAAAACATTGAAAAAACCAAAAACATCCAACGGGTTTCTTGGTCAGTATCTGTCTGAGTCAAGCGGTAATGGGAATCTGAATGTATTTTTAAGGACACCCAGAGGTGAAATGCCCACAGCAAATGCAATCTTCTAATTTTACAATAATTCACTGTAATTTTAAAAAGCAAATAAAACTATGATACAACTTGCTAACATATTTAAGGAGTGTTCAGCATGTAAAGTAGGCACAGGGTAGGTCTATTTATTAACGTCTCCCCAGCATTAAAATGAGTCCAAATATCCACCCTACATTTATTACCCTTTACACACGGATATTCAACACATTTTACTTGGTCACTCGACTTTCATTTCATGCCATCTGACTCTGTGAGGGCATGATGGCTTTCGGGCATGTCTGTGCTGGTGGGCTGTGGTGTACAGCGCGTTTATCAAGCTCTGAATCAAGTCATCCCAGTGTGACCATCTGCTGCTGCAGGAACACATCTATTCTTAGCTTCAACTGTCTACTCAGTGGCACCATTTGGCCTTCTTTCACTGTGTTGCTTTTTACAATTGTTCATCCACCAATAATATACACACTGGGATGACCTCATGAAGATTTAGGGGAAAAGATTTAAAGCTAAATTGTCCTAGACCAATTCTCCTCACACATTAAATTAGGCTTTGTACAGAGATATTTATTTAGCCAGTGAAGAAAAATTGAAAGGGAATTTTAGCCTCAGTAAATCAATGAGTCATTGGCAAACTGGCTAGGCATGATTTTAACTGTGGATAAAACACATATACACTCACAGACACATGTGTGTGCAAGCAAGCATGTATCATAGCTAAAGTTCATCTTCTGGCCAAAGCCATCCATCCTTGACATTTCAGAAGATTTTATTTACACTGGAAACTCTGTTCTCAGACAAATATTTCATTCCCCAGGTGGTCATTGCCCTTTATTAGGGACTATTTGATCTTCGCTCTTGTTCCTTCTCTCTTACGTTTTCACTTTTTTAAACTTTTTATGTCTTTGGTTTATATTAAAAGTCCTCAGAAAAGAAAATTTAAATAAGGAACCAAAGAAATAATAGTGTAGAAAAGTATAAAAATGGATAAAAGGTCCTAAGGTGTTGATCTATAAAAACAATGACATTTGTTTACTGTTGATGAACTTACGAAGTGCTTTCATGTGTATTTTCTCATGTAAGCCTCACGACAGCCCAGGGGAAGCTCCAGCTAAAGATGACAAAATAGAAGCACTATACCTCAAGGTCGACTGAACCACAGTTGCTCCTTGGAAACCCTATACAGTGGCACTATGAGTCAGAACCATCTAAACAGCACTTACCAACAGCTACCCTTCCCCAAAGAAGCCTATGCTCCTTGACTGATATCACATCAACATGGTAGGTTGAGAATCCTCCAGGGATTCAAATCATGTTCCTTTTCAATGATCTTTGAGTTTGGGAAACAAACTCAAAAAACTCTAAAGGGGCCAAGATCAGGTGTAAGATGGATGAGGTAGTTTCCCAACAGAATTCTCAGACACTCCTTGTTAACCCTCAAAGAATGAGCAGATGCACTGTCGTGATGGAAGAATTCCTTAATTCAACTTTCCAAGACTTTTTCTCACCAATACAGCTTTCCATTCTCTTAAAGCTTCTACTCAGCCCTGTGATCTATGTCCTCCAAAAAAGTTTGTCAGTATCACCTCTTTAGAGTACAAAAAAAAAAAAAAAAGTCACCATCCCCTTCTGAGCTGACTGCTTTGCCCTGGACTGTTGTCTGATACACCTCATAGACCTTACACACAATAGGAGGAAACGCTGTGTCCTTATCACAATGTTACGTTTGAGCCCGCTGGAACCGCCACTGCTTCAACCCATCTCATCCAAGGCCTTCTGCTTCTCCTCTGATTCTCTACCTCACCAATCATGATGGCTTTCCCAGGAACTGGTCTCTCCTAACAACAGGCCCAGTATTATGTGAGACAAAGTCTTGCCCCACTTGCTTCTAGGAACATTCTGGCTATATTTCTTCTCAGACAAATTTATTTATTCTTCTGGCAGTCCATAGAACTTTCAATATTCTTCAACAACACCATAATTCAAATGCATCCATCTTCTTTATTAATAGTCTAGCTTTCACAAGTATCTGAGACTGAGCTAACTCAACAAGTCTCCTCAGAGGCTAGCTACAGTTTTGATTGGGTCTTTTTTTTGAAGGCACCCTATGGAGACTAAGGCAATTGTACTACTGAAAGAACTCATCTGCAGCATGCACTGCACTAATCGCAGAGACATGTTGAAGCTCATTGTGTCTGGAATAAACCTGTGCATTTATGAATTGGAACCCAAGTAGCAATTCTTTTTTACTTTCATAGAGGAATAAGGTTCTACTAGCCCAACTTCTCAAAAACTCTAAGAAATAATTCTGAAAATACCTACAGAAAACATTACTAATGATTGCTAAGCTATTTCTCTTGGTGCATGATGAGTCATCTCCAAACAGACAAGGATAATTTGCCACAGTTTTAAAACCAAGAGGTAAAATCAACACTGTTAATATTGATTTTCAAATATTCTGCTTGTCAATCCATTCTAAGTCTACCCATTATGATGCTAAATACATGCCAGATTTATTACTGTGCCACATGAGCAAGGAAGACCAATACTAGACTGGCACTGCCATTGTCCCTAAGATCCAAAACTATACTCCAGAGAGAAACCATTTTCTTTTCTTTCTTCAACTGAAAACTGGAGCTGGATAACAAAAATTGAGTTTTCCTAACACCAGTCTAATAAGCAGCATAGAGGAAAGGGAACACTCAATGTATCTTTTACATGTAATGCCACCATGCACATAGACAGTATGCACAGTGAATGGGAGACAAGCGTGTGAGGGGCTTGTTTGGCTTGCAAAAACACACAATGTGCTGTTACTTGTTATTTTATTTCCATAAAAATATGATGTGATAGTGCTAACAGTAATATTCTACAGGAGGTGGTTCCTATTAGTAGCCCTATGTCTACACTAGCATCCACTTTCTTTCAGGAACCTGTTCTGTCAGGTGAGAACACTAAGAAAGCTCTAGAAGACAGACAGGTGACACCAAAGGGCTTTTTTCTCAGGACTGAGGAGCAGCAAAATGAGTTTCCTGTTGTTGCTGTTTGAGAAGCATGGCTCTGACTCGGTCAGAAGGTCACTGCAATCTAACCAATTCTAGAGCAATGAACAGTGACTCACAGGGGCAGAGGCTTCAAACTCCACAGGTCTGTTCTCACTCCCACACCTCCCAAGACTGCTTTGGATACTCAGACTTCAGAGTCTCCCATTGTGCCTCCTTCCTGCTGGGGATCCTGCCAGGCCACATGTGGCAGGCAGAAAAAGTAGAGAATCCAGGAGACTGTCGACTACATCTGCTCTGGGATCTGTACCTCCTCACCTGTCTCAGAGATCAGAGACCTGGGAGAAGGGCACCAGGAAGAAGGACAAAGCGAAATCAGTTCTCAATCTTTTGCTTCCACAGGCATAAAATTTACGTTTTATTATTTATAGTGCTTTCGAAACGTTCTACTTGTCAATCTATCCTAAATCTATCATTTGTCACTGTTGTTAGGTGCCGTCAAGTCTGTTCCAACACACAGTGACTCAGTAAGGAAACACTGCTCGGTCCTGTGTCAGGCTCATCATCATTACTCTACCAAGTAAGCGGTCCTTCTCCAGGGACTGGGCCTGCCTGACAACATGTCCGAAGTACATGAGATGACATGTCACCACCCTCAGACACATTCCGAGGATCAGTCTGGCTTTTACTCCTCCTAAGACAGACGTGATCATTCTCCTGGCAGTCTGTGGTAGAGTTAAGGTTCTTCATCAAGACCATCATTCAAAGGCATCAATTCTTTGTTGGGCTTCCTTATTCATTGTCCAATTTTTGCATGCATATGCAAAATTGAAAATACCATGGCTTGGGTCTATTAATTACCATGTTAAATATATTATTATGGAATAAATCAAATAAGGAGGGACACAAATAACTGGTCTTTTAACGAAGGTGAAATAAAACTCCAGAAGGATTTAATGAGGATTTTGAGAACTATAGTGTGGTTTTACTGAAACACCACATGACTAAACAACCACTACAAAAGACTTCTAGGTAACCAAGGACTTAGGGGGTAGGGGCATGGAGACTTATTGCTTACTGGATACAGAATTTCTGTTTGAGGTGCTGAAAGAATTTTGGAAGTTAGATGGTGGTAAAGATTATACAACATGGAAAACGTAATTAATTCCAGTGAATGGTATACCTAAAAATGGTTAAATGGATGTTAATATCTTTCAGCACAATAAAATAACAAGGTTTGAAAAGACTTCTAAATACTACTTCAGAAAAGAGGAGCTTTATCTGCTTCCTAATAGCTCTCCTGACTAGCACCACTGTGGCCATGTCCCTAGCCTGCCCCACTCCTTTACCTGGTGTGACCCCGAGAGCTCAGAGGGAAGACGGGCACAGAAGACCGGTGGGCGAATCTTCTCCTGCCATTCTGACCCTCCCTCACCAGCTGCCTGTGTTACAAAAATCAACTGTAGTCAACTCAGTGGTCCAGGATGCTCCCAGTTACCACAGGGGAGACTCCTAGCCTGTAAGTGCAACCACCCTCTTGGACTATAAATAACTCAGTGGCTACTAAGCTGGTTTTCCCACTACAGGGACCCATCTGGTTAGAGCAAGCAGAGCTTTAAGTATCTCCTGATGGTCATTATCACAATTGTATGTTGCTGTTGTTGTTGTTTAGTGCTGTGGAGTCGACTCTGACCCATAGTGACCCTGTATAGGGTTTCTGGGTTTCCGAGGAGCAGCTGGTGAGCTTGAACTGCTAACCTTGCAGTTCAAATGGCTTTGCAGTCTGGTGCATTAACCCAAAGCGCCACACCAGGATTCCACCACAATTGTATAAATGTGTGTAAGTGGGATGGCTGGGAACTGGTTAAACCTGATCTCAACCTGTTACTGTCAAGCTGACTGTGACTCATAGCAACCCAGTAAGACAGAGCAGAACTGCTCCATAGGGCTTCCAAAGCTATCATGTTTACAGAAACAGACGACCACATCTTCTCATATGGAGCTTTTAGGGCTACTTAAAACCTAATCTAGAAAAGTATCATTCAGACAAAGACTGAAGAAGGGATCCGTTCAGGTTATCACAAGCTGGGGGAAACAATACATTTCTAGGAAGGTGTCAAGAACAAACTTTCAGGGAGCCAGACAAACACTAGTTCAATCTAAGTTCAAATAGTAGTATTGAGGATGTGAGGATGGCTACTTAGGCACTGTGGCTTAGAACTGATGCTTTTGTTTTTGTCTGAATCTTACCTATCTGTTTTAGTAGAACTGGAGAAAATAATATAAACTCTTGGGAGCGCAGAGACCACATGCAATTTTTCTATGTGTCTTTCCTAGTTTAACTGTGTCTAGTGCAAAGGATATACTCAAACCTTCCCCAGATTAACTAGCTTTAAATTTTTAATCACACACTTGACAGTACAGTTGTCAGGACACAAGAGCACGATGAAATGTACACATTCACTATCATTTAGCATCCCAAATAAATACCAATTTCCAATTACTATCACCATCAAACATGAATGGCAAGAACTACATGGAGTCTCCAGCAAAGGAAGTGTTAACTACCATTCAGCCGGACACCTGGTAGCAGTCTTTCATAATTCTGGCCACTTAACATCCATGCCAGAAGATCTGATTGCTTTTAAAATCCATAAACTCTAACAATGAGTTGTTATTTTTTTAAAAGGTAACAGTTTTGAGGGATTTATAAATAAAGGGTCAGGTGATTCCAAATGTTAAGACTGAATATCTTGTAAACTCCGAATTTTAAAACCTCTGATTTTCATAAGACTTTACGAAGCCATTTAACCTCAATGTTATGGCTCACCAACTAGTATCAGTTTCGTTCAGGTCCTTTACCTTAGCGACAGTTTATAATGGCTGTTTTGGGGGTATGCAATGGAGGAGAAGAGGGTCATAATTATTTTTTACCCTATATACTTTTCAAAGATTCTTTTAAATAATTAGCATTGTTTACACAATTCAAAGCAAATGCCATAGTTACTCTCAAAGAAGATAAACTTACATTTCTTTCCTGAATTCTTCCATTTTTTGATTCTCTACAGTCAGAAGTTCTTTTGATTTGTTCAGCTCTTCCACATTTTTCAAGTTATTTTCTTTAAGTGTATCCAACTTAAAGACCAAGAGAAAAAACCTTAATGAAACTATTTCATTTTCCAATGACATGTCTGGTAGACACAAATTACTCATGAAAACACTTATTTAAAGGTATGTGAGATTAGTCACTTGTAGAAAGCAAAAACAACTCACTTGGGTGAAGAGATGACAAATGACCAAGTCTATTATAAGCCGCAAATCTCCTCCTTAGACTTAGTCAGACATTTTTTATACATGGCCAATATGTCAAATACAATTACCACATAAATTAAAGCCAAAGTGATATTTCACCTTGTGTACAGGTCTCAGTGTTTTTTCTGCCTGTCAGTTAACTTGCTATTCAAATATAATTCATCTTAAAAAAAAAAAAAAAAGAAGAAGAAAAGCAAAGGTTTGACATCAGCAAAGATTACCCTTTGTAATAAAATCAATTCCTTTCCTTGCCCGTGGATTAGTCACTTTGGATAGTGTGGTTTGCAACATCAAAACCAAACTGACATAGTCTTCATTCAAAAAACTAGTCCTTTGGTTGAAGATCTTTGCAAATGGGAAAAGATAGTGACATGTGCAAAGGACAGAAAGTCATGAGGTAAGACCTGCAGGTACTTAGATCCACCACCTGCCCACTGGAGGTGCATACAGCTTAAGTCCGGATGGAAAAGCCAGATGCGCTACTGAAAAAAGTGGGAGTATGAAAGCCCCCAGGCTCTGGCATATGGCCAGCTTCCAGGTTTAGGGGGGTCCCAACTACACGAAGAGCTCACTACGGACCTTCTGCTCTGTAGTGTGTCCCAGAGCCTGTGCAGTTGCCTCCTTTGCCATGTTCCAAACCACCCTTTAGGAGTCCCAGAGAGTGTGTTGTTATTTTACCACCACCCCATTCCTCTAAAGACCTACTAACATTCCAAAACTACATTAACAAGAAAAATAAAATATCCTAATGGGACCAAAACATGATTCAAAGACTTGTATGTTGGCTACAATCAACATACCAAGGAACATGTCATGAAAGAACAAAATTCTTTCAGATTCCATCCTCATAGGTCAGGAGCGTGTCAGCGTCCCAAATATTCTTATTTACTTTAGCTTCTAATTTTATGACCCTCTACGATTTTTCAAATATTTTGTATAGTTTCAGCTTAAGTCTTAGGGCTGTCAGGCCTATCAATGTATGCCATCCTGTGTTTAGTTTTCTTTACTTACCTTATAACTAGCTTCAAATATTCAAGTCTCTACAGAAAGTAATCTTTGACCTTGCATAATGAGAAGGCCTAGTCTTCAACAGCAGCTATTCAATTTGAGGCTACCCCCTCCTCACTTTACCTCTTTAATGCTTCCCCTTCCTGTCACTTAAAAAAAGCATCTTAATGAAGGGTCAACAGAATTTCACAGAAGGGCTTCAGTGAAATCAGTCTGCTTAGAATTTAAGCAACAGCTTTACGGAGGGAGGGGGAAAAAGGTTGGTATAATTTGGGAGATTGGGAGCAGAAGCATCAAAGACGGGTAAAAGAATGAGAAATGCTACTTGTGGACAGACTCAAAATATCTTAATGCCACTAACTGTCCAAGCCCCAAAAGTGTGCAATTCTATATGACACAAAGGGAATTCCTACAAGATTAGGCCAAGAAAAGGTCCACATAAAACTCAGACCTGAGGCATGGATTGAGTGGCTCAAAGAAGTTGAGAAGTTAAGGGAAAAATACATGTGATTAAAGGTAACAGATAAAGAAACAAGAGACCACCACCGGGAACTTCTCAACGCCTTAGTTTTATCGCTGAGCAGTTATCCCAGAAAGCTGTGTTGTTAGGGATTTTACCTTCATGTTTCCAGGCTAATCCTACTATGTAAGTAATGAAGTAATACATTTTATTAGATATTACCCTGGTTCCAGTGTACATTCAACTCCATTAACATATGTCAAACCTGTATAAGGCCATGCTTTGAAAAACATACAGCTAGTGATCAAACACTTCCATGAAGTCGGTAAGCTGTTCTTTGTACAAAAAGCCATTTAAATCTGATTACTTCATTCTGGAGTTTTTCATTTGTTTGCTTGGTATCTTCCAAGGAGGCCAGAGTCTCAGTCTTCTCTTTGGTCATCTGCTCCATGATCTGCATGGCATCTTCTGCACTTTGGGCAGCCTACACATGAAAAAGGGCAATGAGAAACCAGGATACCCCTCACCAACAGTTCTGGGGGGCAGTCAGGGTATGTATGCTCTCATGCAGCCTGTCTTCAGTGTGTGGTTAAGGGGTCACCAACAGTGGGAAGCAGGCCCTAATCCAAAGCTAAAACAAGCAGTCTAAGACAAGGAAGACCTACACTTTGAACCAAAACAAAATAGCCCCCTCCTGTGCTATTTTTCCATCAGTCTATTGTTATATGAAATTTGTGTATTTTCAGATCTCCCTATCTAAACATATCAGTTCCAAGTTACACTGATAGTTATTCTTACCTCTTTAACTTATGCCTGAGAAAAACATTCAGTGATAAGAGTAGCCTCTATATAAAGGGGCTTCAAAATTTCTTGGAAAAATTCCATTATCTTTTAATTCCGTATTTCCACAAATTTTTGGAAGGCCCCCTCGCCCCATACAACTGAACTTTCACCTCATCTGCTTCTAACAGTATCTACTATACAAATTTTAAATACTTACTATTTTAACTTTGTAACTTCTGAAATCTCTCAGAATTTAGGTTGGAAAGTTTTCAAATACAATTTATTTGGGCAAGTTTAACAAAAGACTCCTGTGTTTAATGAGAAATACAGAATGGGAAAAAAAAAATCTATGAGGGGCTTTATGAGTAATGAGCATAAACAGAACTGTAAATGAAAAGGCTAAAAGCATTTTGAGCCAGAACTTTAGCAGGTAGATATTGAAGTAACCTAGGGGTAAAGGGGCATTCTATCATCATTTTTACAACCTATTCTTCAAGGATTCAGAAAAGAAGGCAGTATGCATGCATGGATGTGAGAGTGGGCATGTGGTTGTATGCAAATACTCACTATCAACACTCATGGAAGGAGCAATCAAGAAATCAAATGATGTATGTTGTTGCTGTTGTTAAGTGCTGTTGAGTGGACTCTGACTCATAGAGA